TTAAATGTAAAAATACATTAAAGTAATGTAAAAGAGAGACATGATCAGATTAAACAAAACAGTCTTTATTTTGTTTAATCTGTAAACATATAAACAAGTTTATATGGTCATCATTAATATGCCTTGTTTCTTTTTTTTCAAGTTGTGAAAATAACTCTAGATTGATCTTTGCTGTAAATCTCTGAAGCATCAATGTTACAATTCTGTCAGTAGATAATATTTCCTTTATTCTCTTTTTATACTCATAGCTGCTTTTTTTTTTTAATTCACTAAAACAACAACAGGTTTTGGAGAATAAACCTCTGATTATTCCACAACATCTAAACTGTTCTCAGAAAATTAATCTAGATTTTAATCCAGTTATCAGATTGTAAGACTTGATTTACTCACCGGTGACAGTAACACTGAATATTTTAGCAGGTGTGCTCATGATCTGTAGTGTATAGAGTCCAGCATGGTCAGTTCTGATGTTTGTGATGGTCAGAGATCCAGTCTGCTTGTCCAAATTCAATTTGCCTTTGAATTTCTCATCAACAGCCTCAGATGTAGAGAAGATTTCAAGTGCATTTTTAAGTGCTAGGATATTTTCATCAAACTTCCAATCAGCTGTATCATTTGCTGGTATTACAGTTTGATGTTTTAGAGTGACAGAATCTCCCTCCATCACGGTCACATCAACTTTCTCAACACCAAACACTCCTGGTGGGGGGAAAATAAATAAAAGATGTTAATTCTTGATCAATTCTGCCATTTTTTTTCAGTGCAGCAAATGCTAGAGTGAATTTACCCTGATACACAGTGTTTTTCATTACTGAAGTGCTCTCTACGTCTGAAACAGAGACATGGAGAATCCAGAACTGAGTCTGTATCACTGCTGTGTGTGTGACGACTGCTGTTATGATATTTTATGTTTTCTAAATATAGTTTGAAACTGTCTTTTGCCGACTCTGAAAAGTTAATTTCCCCAATATCAATTTCAAATAACTATTTACCATAAAACCACACTTTACATTTTTGTAAGGATATCGTTTTACGTCCATTGCATCAGTGTTGTGTCTCCTGAAAATTAAACATGACATGACCTGTAATTTCAACAAAACACAAATTGTAAAACATATGTGGCTGTGACATGCAACACTCAAACAAAACACAAAAACACACAAAATAAATAAGTAAATACAATTAAAAGTGCAGCCTGAAAGCACTGGATTAAAAAAAATGCAATGAACCAAAATAAATTTCTGTTGTTAAAATGTTAAATGTTTCTTACACTGGAATAGCATTATTCAGAGAATATATATCCATACAGAATGTTTTAAAGTTCTTCACAGATATAGGGGAGACCAGAGAGTGTTGTTTGAGGTGAGTTCAAACACCATCAGTTTAACTTAGAAATGAAGAATAGAGCTTAATCACAGTCTTGCATGAACACCAGCATCCTCATGACAGTAGAAGTTGTGAGTCAATATAGTCTAGAAAGAATTTACAGAATAAAAAAACAGGTTTGAAGATTTTTTTTTTTAAGAACATTTCAGGAATTGCTAAAAAAAATAGATCTGCAAAGGTTTTGCGAGTGAAAAAAAAAAGTGAAAAGCAAAACATTTAGGCTAATTTTATCTCCCATCTCATATTTGTTTCCATCACAGTCTATTTGTTATATATTTGTTACAAATTGTAGTATTTTGAATTAATAATTGTACCATTTATTTACATTTTTAATCAAAATATTGTATATGAAATAAGGGTGGAGTTTGCATTGCATAATATTTAGAAAGGAAAACTTAGCACAATAATTCAAACTAACCCCAGCGGTTACAGGAGCAGAAACAACTGAGCTCGATCTACTTTTGAGGCAAATAGTGATAATTATGAACTTGATGAAGAAATGCAACTAGTTTTCTATTTCTGGACTATAGTGACACAGAATATCTCAAATTAATAACGAAAACATTGTTTTAAGTAGGCCTAATCCATATAGGTTTGCAGAGACATCTGACTGGATAAATGATGATAAGTTATTAATGTGCACTTGCTGTTATGAGCCACACCCATAACCGACCGACAGAAAAAAAGAGAGAGAGAGACACTTTTATGCCGATTTACTTGTGATTTTTATTTTGTATTCCGCTAAAACAGTAGCCAATATAATGAGATTATTATTGTTGTTGTTGTTGTTGTTGTTATTATTATTATTATTATTATTCACACAAAAATAAAAAATAAAGTGTTTTGCAGAATATTACAGGTCGTCTGCGCCCTCTTGTGTTCACTACCAGACAAACACACACACACGCACGAACAAACTTACCCCCCAAAATACCCTTATAATGGCGTTGTTACTTTCACACTATGATTTATCACACCGTCTATTTGTAGAAAAGTTATAACAGTTTTTTCAAGAAATAATGGTGATGGGCTACAAGAAAATTAGATGACAAGAGCAAATGCGCATTTTCTGTTTCCGGTTTATTTTGAAACCGAAAGTGTTGAATTAATGAGAATAAATGTGACTCACCGTCCACTAGCATTAAAGCCACCAAAACGAAGGAAAGGTTCCTCATAGTGATGTCGCTTCTGGCCGCATGCGAACGGAATGAAGAAAGTGATGCAGGATATAGATGATGGAGTCGCAGCAAACCGTCCAGGTCACGTGATTTCTGCGAAAGAGTGAGTTACGTCATAGGCTACTATTTCAAAGCGGTCCAAACAGTCCAAAGGAAAAGAAAGCAAGAAAGCGGTCGCCTCTGCTCTGGTGAGCCTGACTGCAGTTGTGAGGTTAACATCTGTATGTCACTGATGATGGTAGGCCTATGTCTAAATGCAAGGGCTTTGAAAATATAAAAAAAAAATGAATTGTTTGAAATTTTAACCTATAAAACATAAAATATACAAAAAAATACACAAAAGTGGTGTCCCACACTAAATTAAGTTACACGCCATGCTCAGTTTTCTTGAAATATTTTTTAGGCCTATATTTAGTTTAGTAACTTAATTACCATAACCAAGAAAAAATAGTCCTGCTATGACTGGCCACTTGTTCATGGTGTTTCCTCTGCCTACGGGCAAGATCATAGACCCTAATGTGACCCTATAGGACAAGCGGTATTGAGAATTGATGGATGAATGGAAGAAAAATAATGCAGAATGTCACAACAAAGTGATGAATCCAATATTAGGCAATTAAATACCAGAATAAAGCAGCGTTTAAATAACTCTAAGAACATTAAAGGGATGTTCTCATCATTAAGATCGTTCACGTAGTGAAACTGCGCAGCGCTTCTGTGTTGTACGTCACACGCATCACACACATGACCAGCGTCGGCCAATAGTGAGCCTATGTGTGATGTACAACCTAGAAGCGGTTTCACTATGTGAAATCTCACGGCCCACAGAGAAGGAAATGAATAGTTGAATAAAGTTGTTATTTTTGTTTGTTTTTTTGTGCACAAAAAGTATTCTCGTCGCTTGAAAAACTTAAGGTTGAGCCACTGTAGTCACTCGGACTATTTTAACGATGTCTTTAACTTTTCTGGGCCGGCAAGTTTCGATCCCTTAAGAAGCCTATGGAGGAGTGATCCAGCTCTCAGATTTAATCAAAAATATCTTAATTTGTGTTTCGAAGATGAACGAAAGTCTTACGGGGTTGGAACATCATGAGGGTGAGTGATTACAGATTTGGGGTGAACTATCCCTTTAAGGGTCAGTTTGTGTCCGCTGAGACAGATCTACTGTCAAACATGTGTTCTATGGGAACTCAAAATGACAAAACTAAAGTTCAGTCAATATGAAATGAGAAGAGAAAATAAGCACACAAACAGAATTAAAGTGTAAACTTGAGTCAAGACAGTTCCTCTGTCCATTGATCTTCTTCTGTGAGGTTTGGAAATGAGGGAGAGTATCTCTGTTATTCTCGAGATAAGGCCTATAACCTCAGAGAAGAGAAGATGCTGAAAATAAACCACAAGACCTGAGACCATCTGCAAACATTAGCTTCAGATCAGAGAACAGATATCAGTTTAAGATTATTTACATCCAATGAGTACAGAATCTTTATCATAAAACAACTCTACACATGATTACATGTCTCTTTTTGACTATTAGAACCTAAAGGGATTAAAAAAAGTGTGAAATTAGAAGTAAAATGAAGAACTGAAAAAGACCTCACATGATAACACATTTTTTTGTGAATTTTCACAGGATGTGTGGGTTTGTATATTTAGTGTGTATGAAGGGCGTCTTCTTCATCTATGAATCTCATGGTTTGACTTAGTTTAAAAACAGCAAGAAACAAAAGAAACATGGGAATTATTTTCCTGTAGATTTCCACATCCAACAGATGATCATCAACAGCTTACTTTTTGGAAAACTAGAATTGTTGCACACAGGTTTTTGCTTAATATTTTTATTATAGCTAATAATTATTAATAATTATGTACATTTATTTATATCTTAAGTGTCCTGTTTTACCAACTTCTATCCTGCACAATTACAGTTGGATGCAAACTTTATTTACAATGTCAGGTTTATTAACCTACTTATTTACCAATAGAAGTTGAATGAACTGGGTGGATTTCTTTAAGAAGAACCGGACCGCACCAGCCTCTTCAAATTTCTCATTGGTTGAACAGATACCTACGTCACCACCTGTTGCACACTAGTTAACGCCCACAGGCGCGCGCACATAACGGTGGCGTGCAGAGTGCTGGAGTAGCCTAGGCTATAAAGCGGATCTGTTATCAGCTTAAGAAAAATATATATAACATAATCTATATAACATAGAACATATTCATTATAAAATAATATCACATTGTCGGACTTGTAATGTGACAATCTGAGAACCTACGAAAATGATTCGCACATTTGTTTTGCTCGTTTTGTTATGTCTGGTTGGTAAGTTAGCCTAAATCTATTTTTCACGACAATACTGTTATCACAGTAATTACAAACTACACAAAACGGTAAGGAGATTTCCATGATTTAAATATTTAAGCCATGTAATCTCGTTCTGCAGGTGTTTTTCAGGTTGAATCACATGAAGTTCAGTCAGTAACGTTAATGCTGGGAGACTCTGTCACTCTGGACTGTAATGTTTCTGAAACACAGCTGAAGAATGATATCGAGTGGAGGTTTGACATTGACAACAGTCGCATAGTTTACACAATTAAGGGCAATCCAAAGTATGATAATGACAGATTCAAAGACAGACTGAAGCTGGAGAGAAACGGATCTCTTACCATCAACGGGACCAGAACCACAGACACTGGAGTCTATAAATTTAGGACCATTATCAATAACAAGGAGTTAATAAAGATGTTCAGTGTTACTGTTTATGGTAGGTGTTGTAGGCTATCCTAATTAATTTAGGCCTATAGCGTAATGTCTTTTTCATATAGCAAATGGCACTAAATCGTTATTATAATTATCCATTATTCAAGATGATTTTTATATTGAACATTAGGCTACATATACTATTCAAGCTGTAGCCTACGGCAAAAAAAAAAAAAAAAAAAAAAAATCGGCTAAAAATTTTTGAATTGGCCAGACACGAAGGGGATATTCATAATTTGACCACCAGATGGCCACAACGTACATGAAAAGCTTCACGTAATGAACCCTTTAACGACAGTCACTTGTCTGACTGTTTTATTTTATGTTTTGCAGCTCCTCTACCCGTTCCTGTGATCTTCAGTGACACTTCACAATGTTCTGTATCGGCTGAAAGATCATCAAGGATCGTCCTGTGTTCAGTGTTGAATGTGAGTCATGTGACTCTCTCCTGGTACGCAGGAATCAGTGTATTGTCCAGCATCAGTGTGTCTGATCTCAGCATCAGTCTCTCTCTTCCTCTGGAGGTGGAATATCAGGATAACAACACTTACAGCTGTGTGATCAACAATCCTGTCAGCAAACAGACCAAACACGTCTGCATTACGGATCTCTGTCGTTTGTATACAGGTATGTTACCAGTGTTGTTATAATTTATTTACTGAACCAGTATCTGTACATTAGTGTACTGATTTAAAAAAAATATCTTTTTCTGTGCTTAATTTCTTTCTTCAGATGACGTCAGTTGTTGTGAAAGCACTGAAGCTGTGATCCGATTGGTCGGCACTGCTCTGGTGGGTCTGGCTGCTGCGGCTGCTTTCATTGTGCTGGTTTATGACATCAGATCCAGAAGAGCTGAACAAGAGAGACATCAGACCCTCAATGATGGATCTGATACTCTAAAACAAGATTAAGCAGTCTTTTTTACTTTTTAATTTGGTGCAATCTTTTTGTGTGCAATTTTTCATTTTGAATGATGACAAAAATAAAAGAAAATGGATGCAGTGTTTTTTAAAATGCTATGTTTGTTCAATATACCAAAATTGGAATAGAACTGTATGCTTGCTGTGCTTAAAATAAAATAGTGACTTCAGATTATTGTGTATGATTTATTTTATTTTATTAAATTGTAAAAATCCACAAAGTAATTTTGTGTTTTCTTTGATCAAAATTAGAAATTAAGTTCATCTGGAGCTCTATAGCTCTACTGGAACCGTACAGAGAAGTACAACTTGATTTAAAACAGACATTGATGAGCACATGTCCCAACTTGGTGATGGGCAAGTTTGTTCCAAAAAAAAAAAATACTGTTCTCTCTCCCAAGGTGTCCAATATTGCCGCATGCACGTCCAAGAGAAATGCGATCATACTGACTGGTCTCCAATCTCCATCATCTATCAGTTAATAGTTTATACTACTGTAGGTACACACAAACTATGTTAATTTAAATTACGGTATATAAATGCATAATTGTTTATTATATAATGCATAAAACAAATTGGACATCATATAGGCTAATATCTTTCCCTTGATAAACTGTTTAAAAAATAATTAATGAATAATTGAACATTACATTGTTCTAATAACTTCAACATTTGGACTGAATTAATAAAGATGGTTGTGAATACATGTAAATGCTAAACTATCAGGCTAATAGAGTATTTGTATGCTATGCTAGTAAGCTTACTAAAACATATTAATGGTCATTTTAACTAACATCTCTTTTTCAGTTCAAATGACATAGGCCTATTTCTTAAAGGGATCTTTAATCAGGTGGTAAAGAGAGGTCATTCTACGAAAATGGTGGCTTTTCTGTCCCGGCCTTAACCACCAGAAAAAAACACTTAAAAATGTCAGTTAATGACACCATATGTTTTTTTTTTTTTTTTAATTGAAGTGTTTAATTGTTAATAAAACATTTGTAAGACAGTTATATTGCAAACAATTTTTTTAATATATTGTAGAACACGGTCAGTACCATGAAATTGGCTTGTCCCTCTGGTCAGGAGTCGTGGTGGTTTAGTGACGTATTTTGATTTTAAAAATATATTTTTCTCCCCCTTTAAATGTCATAATACAAAGAAAAGTAGTATATTTATTTAGTGGACTACTTAAAAAACTAAAATATCAACTAAATATTATAAATAATTTACAGGGAATAGCTGTCCCTCAATTTCATGTCACTGGTGTTACAATTTATAAAAACCACTACTTTGAAATAATGCAAAATACTTGCCAACTTCTTTCTGGGTCAAAGGTTAATTTGGAGGTGGGGCTGTTTTGAAAAGCACATGGTGAGTTTGCACTCTCTCTTCATCTTTTAGCAATTTGATAAATAATTTGATAATTTCATGCGAGGACTTAAGATGTGTCACTGGTGTTCTACAGATTATAGTAAGGGAAAAGGAAATTTGATTAAAATAATTGTTCAAATTGCATGATTAAATGATTTATTTACAATTTAAGAAGTGTGGTTTGAACTACTGTGGTAGCCATCTTTTATCTTGTCTGCTGATTTGTCACTGGTGTTATCGTCACTGGTGTTACTGTTGCTGCTGGTAACACCAGTGACATGACGATAACACCAGTGACAATCAATAACACCACTAACGTTTTTATTAACATAAGGTTTCATAAAAGCCTCAACAATAAATATTACTAATAAATTGATAAAAATTTGTTTGAAATAATCGTATGTTATGTCATTGGTTTCACATTGCGTCACTGGTGTTACATTGCGTCACTGGTGTTACTGCATGGGATATTGGTGTTCTGGCATCAGAGTAGCCCAGTTTTATAGAATATGGTTTTTGTATCTACCTAACTGTTGCTGCGTTCATTAGTAAGCATTTTAAGGATATGATCATTCAATTTTGATCACTCTACCTCAATTATTTCTAATGTTACAACAAAAAACACAATGGTAGAAATAGAAAAATGTCACACAATAGAACTTTACACATACCTGGTTAAAGCAAATTATTACTAATCAAGACAATTCCTTAATATTACATTAACTTTTTCTATCTTTGATTATGTATGCAAATTAAATGGTCAAATTACATTCTGGAAAGCCTGAATTGTCATCTAAAATATAGGTAACACCAGTGACAAAAAGGCAGCTCAAGCATTTTTTTTATGTAATGTAGTAAAAATATAAAAATACATTAAGCTGTCATTTAAGTTGATTTATAATGTTAAGAGGTTAACTATTATCTGACTATAAGTTTTGGTATAAAACAAAGAATTACATTTTTTAAAAGTTGTCTGTTCAAAAAGCCACCATTTTCATAGAATGACTTGGGGTCCTAATGGAGACCCGATTTCTCACAACAAATGCCTTGTCCAAATACCCACACTTGCGGTCTTCTTGGCCATGGACATAACAGAGAGTTTCGCCAGAGCCCGTCTACGGAAAGCCTGGCCACTCCCTATTAAGTCCTATTGTACCGAATTTTGGTTGTAGTTCCACCAGAGTTCCACTGGGGGCGATCGCCCATGAGTGCAAAATGAATAGGAGTCTATGGAGCTAGACGGCTAAATTTGTCTCTTTCACCCGATTGCCATTGAGAAATCTCAGATTTGATTGTGGGTTTTGCAAGTTCAACATGGGTTATAGGTCGTAAGTTGAATGAACGACTACTTATGTCCTTTCGATTTCTTACAGGTTGAGTTGTTGTTGCCCATAACACGCTAGCATTCTGCTAATGGACGCTGATTGGTCAGTGAAGGATTGATTATGACCAGAGATAACGCTTGATGGCATCGTGGCATCCGAAGCGGGACCGGAATGTTAAGAACTTTTTTGTTTAACAAAAACTCTTCTAGCACGTGTATTTACATGTGTCAGCTGTGTTGTCGATGCCTCGAGAGAAAAGAAAGTGCAGAGCGCGAAAGCACCAAAGTGACTGAAGGATTGCCGTAAAGCAGTATCTAGTCGTACGATGTGTATGACGTCATTGACATTTTAAAAGACTTTTTAAAGCAAATAAGTGACTAAAAAATCTAACACCCAGCAATTTATTTGCATCTCGTTTCGAATACAACATTTAAATTACTAGACAAAAAAATATATCCTGAGAAAAGTGGATTTTGAGGGGTATAGCTCCATAGACCTCCATTCTGCACCCGTCCTGTGAGCACCCTCATATGGAACTGCAACCAGTTCAGAAACCGGAAGTTTACTGAGTGGAAGTTCTCCCGTTGTTAGACATTCTCTGGTGACGCCCTATCGACCGCTACAGCCTACTGGCGCGGACAAGCCGTGGGGCCGCCATCTTAGACTGGTCACCCGCTCCGCTCAGTGTAATCTGTTTGGCAGGTGCAATGAGCTGTCAGCGCATTTAATTAATCATATATCACTGAATACCGAACTGATTTTCACATGTTTCTTTGTTTTTTTTTGCTGCAAAGGTCACACATGTAGCTATATATGATACAGGACACATGGTACAAATACATAAAATACAACCAATGTTAAATCTTTCTTGTGAAAAGTAATTCTCCCGAGGCCTATTTGCGATGGTCTGCCGGTTTGAGCAGGAATATGCTGCACAGTGCTCTGGCATCTTAACTGCTGCTATGCACCGCAATTAGGAGTATGACCGGTTAAAGATGGCGCCCGCATTACTTGCGCCCCTCTTGTGCCCAGAAGCCATCTACCTATGGTCTTGGCCACTTGAGAGCGCGTGCACGTGACAGGAGTTGCGCGCAAGACTGTCCCATGTCTTAAATCCCAAAGCACAGTGCCCTTAAAGCAGGGTTCCTCAAACTCGGTCCTGGAGGGCCACTGTCCTGCAGAGTTTAGCTCCAACCCTGATCAAACAAACCTACCTGTGAGTTTCTAGTGATCCTGAAGACCTTGATTAGCTTGTGTGTTTGATCAGGGTTGGAGCTGAACTCTGCAGGACAGTGGCCAAGTGTGAGTAGAACTTTTAATTACTCGATGGGAAACACTTATAGTCTTGAAAAAAAGCAAGTGTTTACAGAGATTTGATATATTATATTTTCAATACTTTGCATTTTAAAATAAACTTCTACATGTCTGTTCAGTAGTCGCTATGTAACTAACAGAAGACAAATTTAAGTGATAAAAACAGTTGCAAATGTTGTACAAAATAGGCCTACACATACCATACTCATCTTTGCACCAATAAAATGTGCAACACTCTGTTTTTACTACCAAATGATATGTATCTAATAAATTTAAATTACAGTGGAATGTTTTTTTCCTCGACATCTCGCGATTCCGGGGCACATGAGTTCCGGTCCGAACATAATGCATGATGGGATACACTTAGCCTTGAATACCGCTCTGAAGTATTGGAGATAGTGTGGGTTTACTGTGCTTTAAGGTAAGGTTCCTCAAACTCGGTCCTGGAGGCAGTCTTTACACCTAGGCTACTTGAACACTTGTGCCAAATAAAGGAAATATGACATGCAAGTAGACAAGTGGTCAAGTGTAAAGAAAATGGAGAGATCACCACTGATACTCTCAGTTCCATTTCTCAATACCAAACACATCTGGTTAACAAAAGAGGGTTTGCAAGACATTGCATCTATATAATTCTGTAGTGTTTATAATACAATAAAACTAGATAAGTAAAGTTTGTGAACAAACTTTGAAGTTGACTTGACAGAGCATTTGTCTGAATGTTTAAAATAACTTTTCAAGCTTGAAGTTTGAAGATTTTACTTAAAATCAATAAAATATTGATAACATGTTTAGCAAGTTGCCAGCATATTTTAACACATCATTAACATAAGGTTTAGCAAATTGCTCATGTTTATCATAATGTAACATGTTTCTAGCATGATTCAATGCATGTGCTAAACATGTATGCCAAAAAGCATTTTTTTAGCATTAGTACATTGTTGCTCACATGATTTAGCACATTGCTTACAAGTTTCAACATGTTGCTACCATGATATAACACCATGCTTGCAAGTTTT